AGGAGAGACCCGAGGCAGCCGCCGGTCCGAGTGTCAGGTGAACTGAACTTCAGGTAAGAAGTTATGACCTGCAGTCTATCTGGATCAGATATAAACCAAGTTTAGGTGTAGTTTAGCATTAATATACTGCTGAATGGGTTGAGCAGTAGTTACATCACAAGGTTTTAAAAACTGAGCTTTAAAATTCTTATTAATAAAGACAGAGAGAGGCCGACAGTGATCACTGACTGTTTTTAGGGGCTTGTTGAGATGAAATAGAACAAAATACAAAGCATTAAAATATGTTAAAAGCACAATATCCATATTAAACGCAAAGTACTTTGGGTCCGGAAACAGGATTCATCATGTCATCACTTAAAGACCAGATTGAACTGCAAGATGACACACAAGAACTGGTTCTCGATTACTATCCCTAAACATGACAACATCGCTCCTATGTTAGTCAATGATAAGAGTCTCTTGAAGACACTAGAAGATACTAGAAGAAAGTCTATAAAGAAGGCTGCAATACTTGGGTTGCCCTAATACCTTTTTTAGTCACCTTGAAAACACTTTTCCAATAACTGACCTCAAGCCTTAAAGCGTCTTTCAACCCTTTTGGAAACTCTAGACAAACAAATCGGAAATCAGGAGGCAGTTCACTGATTTCGTGCAAAGGATGTTGAACGAAAAACAAGCAGAGCCAGCACCGCTATTAAAGAAAGGTGAGGAAAGTCAGTATCCATCGCCCACAATAGTCTGGCCAGATAAGGGTGGTGTTCGATTCAAGTGTCAAACATGAAGGAATTTCCTTCAGCGACATACTTCTGAGTGGACTCGACAAGAACAGCACTCTTCTTGGAGTTCTGATCTGCTTTTGCAGAGAACCAATAGCATTTACAGCAGATGTGCAGCAAAACAGATGTTTTACAGTTTCAAAGTCTGCAAGCATCAAATCTTTCTAAGTTTCAAATGACAGTAAATGTATCTGGCAGCAGTCTGTCACCAGTGGTTGCCATCTACTGCCTCAGGCAAGCTGCCATCACATACAAATTTTGCGTGATCGACTGCATCTTTTCCTAGTGGCGTTCCGTTACGAACATCTAGCCAAAAATTTGAAAGACCTGGATTTAGGAGTGGAATCACCATTTCTTCAGAGGAGTCTTGGTCTAATTTTGAATCTTGAGGCAGACAAATTCCCTTAATGTGTTTCAAAGGAGGAGAAGCCTTCTCGCCCAGACCAGTGCCATCACATCGGCACTGAAGAAAATTCAGCAGACCCTGACCAACAACTCCTACAACTTTCAAAAGCACCAAATGATTTACTGGAAAATAATTTCCATCAAAACTTCAACAAGGGCACATTGCTTAGATTAATGTGTTTGAGCATAAGTTCACCGTGAAGAAACTCAATGATTAAAGAAAACTTCAGTGTCATGCCAAGGAAGACCAAATCCCAAAATATTCCACATCGAATGTTGACATAATTTCTGGACAAAGATGGACTACTGAAGGTCTCAACAACTCACATGTCCTTTGATAACAAAGATCCTCTCATTATTCCCAAGACACACTTTGCTTTGCTACAAGACTCAAAAATAATGAGCAAATTATAAGGGCAATTTGAGACTGATCTCCGATCATTTCTGATTTCTTCATATGATCAACTTGGCTTGAAAGTTTTAGCAACACTGCTAACAAAGAGACAAACAAACAAAACAAAAAACTCCCCAGTAGTGATCATTTTTGCACACTTACTTGAGAATCTTCAGTTTGCAGTGTGGACTCTTCAGGCCTTCAGCAAGATGTTCCACACCTAAATCCAGCAGGTCATTATGGCTCATGTCCAACTCTGACAGGTTTGAGAATGCAGAGCTTAGGACTAAATCTGTGAGACCACTGCAGGATTGTTCGGTGAGCTCGCACCAACTCAACCTGTGAAAACAACTGTAGTCAGAAATCCTGTTGGACATTCTAAAGTACTTGTGGAGTAACAATGTGGTCCAAAGTAAACATTGATAGTCTTGTCACACCACAACACTGGATTTGAAATTGAACCCTCAAGATGTGACTAAACTGTTCAGAATTTATATAAATTTTTAGCATGAAAAGATCACATCAGATTTGTTTCCTTTTACGGCATACTTTGGGTCATTATCCATTTGCACAGTCCAATCATTTTCGAAGTTGGGTTAATCTGAGCAGAGAATATAGCCCTGTATACGTCATAATTCATCTTGCTACTTGTGCTACCATTTATCATCAATAAACACTAGACCCCAAAACAGCACCTGCAAATAGACACGCTTACGAAACGGATTGCAAACTCCAGGCAATCAGTCACACAATAGAACATGGAAATAGAGCAGCTGCGAGACAATTCAGCATTAACCTCCTAGGACCAGCCGTCCACATATGTGGACATCACATTTTAGGTTGACTAGACCAAAATACTAAATTTTGCTCTACAAGTGCCTGATATCCACTTACGAGGACATTATACTGCCTCTGTTTTATCAAAAATGAATTTTAAAATGAATACCCTCATTTTTCTTAGAAACAAAAATCAGGTGAAAAAAAAAAAATATCTGGTGATTCTTTGTTTTTAGATCCCAATATGCCCAAATATCAAAGATAAATTAAAAATGCATGCCATGGAAGAGTTTGAGTCTTAGGAGGTTAATGAATCGATGGTGCACAAGTGGAGGAAGGAAGAAGATGACCTGCATGGAAGTTGAATGTACAGAAAAAGTAAGTGTATTGTTAAATATTTAATGTGTTACAACTTAACAATGTTTAAAGTTATTGTGAATGAGTTTAATAAAGTTCAATTTATCTGACTGTTTTGTTTGGCTTAATGTGCTTTATAATCCCGTGCGCCTTATGTATGAAAACAGAGCAGGTCATTTACAATGCGCCTTATGGTCCGAAAATATACACTACCTTGACAATGATATACCAGGGGTCGGCAACCCTGGGCATTCATGCCACAGCTGGCATGCAAAGGGTTAACTGATGGCACAACACGCAGTTGTCGTGCCATCAGCATTGTCTGTGTTTCTTTTATGCAATCAACACATCTGTTCATGTTAATTCAGCTGTGGGGGCCTCAACTGCCTTTTTTGGCAGTTGAGGAAGTGGAGTGGATAGGGGTGAGCTGCCGTTTCTTCTGATCACCAGTTTTCTCCTGTTTTGAGTTAGTTAAGGAGGTCAGACTCTGTCTTTATTTTGGGCTTTTGTTTTGTTAAGGTCAGGTGCGTGGGAATCAGTTTAGATTCGTTTTGTTTATTATTTTGGCCTTGGCTCACCCTGAAGTGTTGACACTCCCGTTTTTTTGTCCCTCTTTTTATCACTTTGTAAATAAATCACATTATAAAGAACAGATTTGTTTCCTGTCGCTACTTAGGTCATGGGAGGTCTCTAGGCGGGTCGTAACACAGTGAATTGATCTTAGAAGGTGCATTAAACAATAAATATTGATGGCCGGGCCACAAGTGCACATCGCAAATTAGCTCACATAGTCACATTAGTTGTGCTGCTTCTTAATGATGGTATCTTAGCTAACAACCCCAACTACCAGATTCAACTTGTAATTGGCTGAAAATAACTTAGCCTACGGGTGAGAGGGACATTGCTAGCTGGCAGTTTTTTCAAGCGATGTTGAAATTTCTACATTCCGACACTTCAAATGCTTCAGTAGCTGTCCGCTCAGTGAGGCATCAGCACCACGGAAATACATGGATACATCCGTAGACTCGAGACAGAATTCACAATGCCTTTTCGGGACTTTCAGGTGTATAGACCAGTGTTTTCTTTTCTGATCAAACCAGAAAGCTTTAATGACCACCTGGATTTGTCTCTCTGTAACTGGCTGGACACAGAGGACATCAAAATGCAGCTGACTGAACTGAAATGCTTGACTACCTGACAAGTTTAACTGCCTTAAGAACATTGCACAGGCATTATTGACAGTATTTGGCTCTATATATCTGTGTGAGCAGATTTTCTCTCACACAAAGAGTGTCTCCTCAGCGCCTCCCGTAGCTGTCTCACTGCTGGACACTCAGAGACCTGTGTCTCTGAGTAGGAGACCAGAGATCTCATTAACATGTGTATCACAGTATTAAGAAACATGCTATATTGGCTGTTTATTTTTTCTTATCATTGTTGTGAGGAGACCATAAATAGCATTTGCATTTTCTGTTGTACAGTTCATTTGTTGTTATGGTGTTCTTATTATGGATAAGAAGTGTTTTGTTTTGTTTTTTTCAAAATAATTATCTGCACTTTGCCAAAACCTGAGAACAAATATAGTTCCATAAAGTTGTTCTATATAGTGTGTAACTGTTGATGTTAGGTGTTATTAAATTTATTTCTAATGCAATGGTTGATATGGAACATTGAGGAAATTTTAGATGGCACTCATCATCAGAAAGGTTGCCGACCCCTGTTCTAGAGTGTTGTTGACTTGATGTTAATAATTCAGCCTAATGATTGCCTCACTCATGTGAACCAACCACACATTTAAAATTCAAGTGAAAAGTTATAAGATAATAATGCAACACTCCAACATCAATTCCCCATATTATGTCTGCTTCATTTCAATTAATAAGGGAACAGGCTTGACCTGGCTATAAAACTGTTTGGTAGTAAATTATCCAATTAATTGTGAGCCTTTCAAATAACATGTGGAATTCTGACTCATTTAATGCAGTACTTTCATAAAAACACTTTGAACAATAGCTGAAAGGGTGCACTTCAATCAGATATTGATTTGAAGACTGACAGCCTATTCTGGAGGTGTGCAGAGGTGAAACTACAAAAAATGTTTCTTTGTACAAAAAAATTATACACTGTACTGTGTATAATTCAATATCAGTATAATGAACACAATGTTGACTTGAACATAGCCAAAACTGACCCAAAATGCTGTGTAATCCAACTCCATCCTGTTAAATTGTAAGTTTACATGATTAATTACTGGCGTAAGTTAATGGAGTTCAACATTATATGTGAGTTTATGGAAGTTCTCTAAGCTCAATTTAAAAAAATGAAAAACAAAAGTGGCAGATTTTTAAACAGACCCAAACTGTAAATGCCATGTTATTGTGAGCCTTTGTAGATGGACATCATGTCAACTGCGTTGCTTTATAACAAAATCATGTCTGTAATTTTCAAAAGTACTTACAAAGTACGTTTGGAGACTTTGACCACTGGCAGCATTCCCAGAAGAACTTT